GAATGAAATAATTTGTCCTCCCTTTTCATTGGTATCCAAAAAGAAAATGTAATGTATGGAATGTGAAAAATAATAATAAGATGGACAACATTGCCAGATTTTTTTTCGTAATCAAACAAGATGACCATTCATACTTGTTCATTTCTATTAGTATGTAGCAAATGGAATCGTTATTCGAATTTATATTTTTTCAAACTATTATGATCTTGTTACCCGACTGAAAGAGGAAGAAAAAAATGATGTCCTGCACTGCGGTTGATACAACCCCTGATCATTAGGATAGTCTGCTTAAGTATGTGTGTTTGTATTGCATTATATCCTTAATATATCAAAACTATGTTTGCATCGTTTCGAATTATTATTACACATTCGGCATTTATCATGAAGTTGGCCGGCATGACAATATCCAATGTGTATTTTGTATATGTAAGTTATCCATTGTTAGATGGAATTTCTAATTATCTATCACCAATGGCCGATTTGAAGAAGAGAGAGTATTTTAATAGAAATGGAAATTTCTATCCGTACAATCATCACGAACTATAACAGGAATTGGATCGATTTGGAGTTTTTTTCCTATTGTATTGTTAAATCGGCTGACAATATATAGCAGCTGACAATAGTCGATGAAATTTTTTTTTTGCAATTTCTCGGCATATTTTAAAGTGTCATTTTATACACAATTTCAATATCTTATTGTTTGTTTTATAGTATATTACGGTAAACAGAAATACAGGCCTTGAGAATACAAATTCTTATTTCCTATAGGCCTCATGCCAACACGTTCACAATTTTGTGGCTTTGTCATCGGATAAAAAATTTTGGATAGATCGAATAGGATTCAATTCCGTTTTTGATTTTAAAAAAAAGTTATGAATGGCAACCTGACGACAGAACTTTATTGAATGCGATGACAAAGACAAGTTTGCGGATAATAAAAAAAAATATAGTAATAATAATAATTGAATCGAATGAAATCATTCTAGTTGTCATTGATGAAAGCCATTATTCTCCTTGTCAATCCATTCTTTGCATTTATCATTATAGCAACATTTCGAATAAGAACCCAGATTTGGTTTGGTAGTAGTTTGTTCGTTACGTCTCTTTTGTTCAGTTTATATTGTCGAATACAGAACCGTAAAGAAAGAAGAGAGATGGTAACCGGGTTTTTTTTTGATTTTCACCCAAAGCTCAATATGTCACCACCATTGGTGCAAATAATTTGAAAGCATGAGAAAAATCTTGTATCATTTTTCCTGACATTTAATTAATTCTTTTTGTTGTACATAAATTAGTTGAAAAAAAATTATTACCTTGAAAAAATTCGTTTTTACTTTTCTCACACATTTGTGAATCAGGTAGATTGTGTTCTACTATTGAATTTTCAGAGTAATACGTTAACCAACCAAAAATCTTTTATCTAATAATGAGTATCATAAATGTTTTTATAGTTATCGATTGTGATGTTCATATTAGTCAACTAAATTGGTAGTGGTCCACTTAACTGATCATTCATTTTCATTCGAATTGACGGGCGTCGATTCCGTCTACAATCAAAAAAAAACCATTTTGTAATAGTTTATATTGCTATCAAGTTATGATCAACATAATCAAGTCAATCACAGTATTCATGACTTGAAAATGAAAAGTGAATCCATTTTGGGCTCCATCATCTACATTGTAACAAAAGGGATCCATGATGGGCAATCGGTATTAAATTAATGAAAGATGCATCCCAATTAGTTATGCGAATGTTAGACCGGCTTGACTAATTGCCTATAACCGATTTTTGTTATTGTTGTGCCACATGTGTTGTGCCATCCGGATATGATTGCCGTGCAATCAAAAGTTGTTAAAGGATGCCATCCAACAAACAAAAACTCATTTTGTAACACACATGATTTGTGTTTGATTGGATTCGCTTCTATTCTTGCAAACTTTTTTCCGTTTGGCCACCGGAATAGCAGAACACTAGAAAACCCGAGTCAGGTTTTTTCAGTACCGATTGGTAAAGGCCAAATAGATGATGATTTTAGTTGATGGAAGAATTTGTGATTCATTGTCATGCTCGTCAGCCTATTTTGGCTTCATTTCATTTTCAGGCTTCTTCGAGTGAAACTGAAGTAAAACAATCAATCTAGATATACTGATTTTACCGTTTTATCATTTTCGAATAGTTTTTTTAGTTACTAAAAAAAATTTGGATAAATTGACCAAACTCATTAAAATGTCATTTAGAGGAATTTTTTTTCAGCAAATTCATTTGCTCAAACTTTAAAAAATTTGCATTAATGACTTTGGTTGGCGGTCAGTTATAACTGAAAGAGCTGTCATCATCACTTGTAAAGAATGAGATAATTAGACAATTAATCTAAATTATGCATATAACTGGATGACTAAATTTGCATGAAACCAATGACCAGACATGTACCATCGAATTGATGGTTTCAAAAAAAAAAAAAAAATGGCAGCTGGCTGGAAATCTGTTCCCGGCTTTAGCATCAATTTTTTTTCTTTCTCTCAATTGAATGTTTATGACCCACATTCTCAATATCCAAAGTGTTATAAAACAAACACGTGCCGTCTTTTTCATATAATGATATATTATGAACAATTTAGTTTAATCATCTATCATTTAACAATGGTAATTGTTGCTGTCGCCTTATTGTCTCTTTATTTTTATATTCTAAATCGAAATTTGTTTTTGAGGTTATTGGGTCCGATTTCTTATTTTATAATATTGATCATACAATCGATTCGTCCAATCATCATTCATCACGTGCATACTGCTATGTGTGTTCGCACGTGGCATCAAACCGTATTGGCCATAAAGCTGTTGACAGTGACAGTTGGGTGCAACAACAAAAAAAACGATCTGTTTATCTATAGACTTATCGAACGTGTCCAAAATAGTCGAATGGTAGATTATTTATAGATGCTGGGAGATTACTTGCTGGGATTAATCTTGATATAATTTCATTCATTTCAATTTGATAAGAATTGCCCAATTCAATGTATAAGATTGTTTTTTTTACCACTGAATAGCCACACACACACCATAAATAAATAAAAACCAAACCTTCATCACACACCACCCACACACGCGCAAGCAAGAACAATTATATCCTCTTGGTTCAAGTTATTAAATTCTTCTCTTTTTCAATTTTTCTTTCATTGAATCTCCATCATCGAATTCATTTCTCATTTCATACGGGAGAAAATAAAAATGTGCTAGTGATTGAATAAAAGATCGAAATTTTTTTTTCGATTAATTTTCGGTTCAACAAAAAATTCTTCTTTTTTGATCCTTATCAAGTTATGTTATTGTTGTTGTTGTTGTTTTTCGTTAGCCAAAACAAAGCCATTTTTTTGAATTCGAATCAAGAACAATAGACTAATGGAGTGTAGAGAGTTATTCTTTATTCTTTTTATTTTTTTTTTTTTTTTGAAATTGACTTAACTTTCCCTTATGTCATGGAATATAGAAAATGAATTGTAATAGAACCATGTTTTTAATGAAAAATTTTCGTCTCTATTCTTGTTTTTCTCAGTTTATGTGTGTGAATAAATGTGTGCATCATCCGTATATGGATCCATGGATGATTGACTATGATAGAAAATCTATGATGTTCTTTTACATCATTGATAGCCATTGAATTGCTTTGGCCTCAAACATAAATTTTTTTTACTGGCAAAACAAATCTATGGATAAATACAATGTTCGGGCCATGTTTACTTATTGGCCAGGTTCGTGCATGTGTTTGCAATTTTTTTTATATTCATTCGCTTAGCTAAGAATGATTTGCATATTATTTTAGCATCACGAATCCATGCATCTAATCAGGCGAATAAAGTGTCGATTACGCTTGATGAGCAAGAACCCTCTTTTTTCAATACAAAAAGTGTTTATGTTAGAAGGCAATTCAGTGGAAAACATGCTGACATCAAAGACGATGCAAGTTACCAATGTATATTTATGCCATCATATATTTAACACAATGATCGAATGGCTGAAGAAAAAATAATGCCAGACAGTCAAAGACCATATCGTTTCAATCAGATTATCGCTAAAAACTTGACGGCCGAAGCAATCGGGAAAAAAAATCAATTCGATTCGATCCACTTGGGACCAAATAATAATAGTCCAGGGGTCATGTTTTGTTGCTGTTTATCCCTTTTTTAGATGGCTTCCTTTTCGACTGTCCATTTTCATATCTATCATTCAGATCGATTCGTATTAGTTGAATATCAGTCATGAAAATGGATGCATTATTTTTCAATGATCAGGTTTTTTTTTCGTTCACCAATCCTGATGAGTGCCAATTCCGATAATCACACAATCGACTGCCTGATTGTTGATCTGACTTGTGATTGACTATGATTCGACACGAAAAGAAAATTCGATTCTGTGATCGGCATCATCATCTACATGATTCCCTAGTGAGATACAACAACATACACAAGTAATGTTGTCGTTGCATTTGCCTATTAATCATTACATCCGTTTCTATTGTTGAATTCTATTGAAACGAATTGTCGATTCGTGGACAATATTCAAGCAGCTATTTCAATGACAGTCACAATTAATAATCATCAACAATGACAATATAAAGGCCGTTCTCATTGTTATTGATTCTGATCATAATGAAGAATCGGCCTGAATAGAATATTTCTAAACAGACTGATGAATATAATAGTATCAAGTCAACATACACCTGCCTAGTTATTCATTTAGTTTTTACCCTCATAGCATCCTCCCATTTTCATTTGGAAACCGATTTCCATCTAACAATTCGAGCATATCCCCTTATATCAGCCAGAATACTGGATCTCTTCGTTTCGATGATGCCATGATTGTCAGTAATGGTTTTCTAATGCAAATCTTACATAACTATCATAGCCAAATGGATAATCGGTTCGAATTCAATTTATATTCAATATTATCATTCATTTTCTTTTCTTTTTTTTCTTATTCTATTTTTTCTTTCTTTTTATGACAGAATGGGTAACATTGCCAGATTGGATAGCTATCAAAAGAAAACGATATACATTGCATCAAATGGATGAGCCTGAATTTGTTGGTATGATACCGAATTTGACCGTATCGGTTGGTCGTGATGCCAAATTTCCTTGCATCGTCAACAATTTGGATACATATCGAGTAAGTTATCATTGTATTGTTTGCAATTGTTAGGCCAGGTGTCTATGAAAAAATAAAAGAACAGAATATATACCAAACCATAAGTTAAAATATTGGCAGTTGGATTCATATTATAACAATATGTAACTATTATGACTTGGAGCCATCATCAATCTCAGAATAAACTAATAGTTTTGACTACTATTGTAAGGAACAAATATATTCCTTGTATTCCTTATATTTTGGGATAAAACATGTCATCGTTTATAATGAGAATCTTGTATTTGGTGAGTTGTCTCTACATCAATTGTCCGCTGACGCCGTTGCCACAGCTTTTTATTTTTTTTACATGTTTTTTTCTTTTTTTCGTTTTGTTTTGTTAGATGGGAGATTGCTAGTGTTTGTTTGTCGCGTGTTAGCTTTGTTTTTTATTGTAGACTGTTTTGCCATTATTCATTCACCTGGGGCCTTTTCCAATCGCATGTCAGAGTATACAAATATATGAAAACATGGAATTACTTGCTTACAAGAATTCACCGCACTAATAATGATAATAATAATAAAAAAAATTTCGCGTTTGTTTGCAAATTCTATATATATGGGCGACTTCATATTGATTCGATCGAAACTAGGTTATACAAACAAGGCAAAAAAAACATACAAGGTTCTATTCATTAGTATTCATCAATTTACTATGAAGCCATATACCAATAATAGGGATATTGACCAATAATCATCATCATCATCATCATTGTCTGATTCAATACATATCTATTCATGATGACCGTAATTCGCCAAAGACAACCTTTCCTACATCATCATCATATTGCAAATATTGACTGACTGGATCATTTTCAAAAGCAGCCATTGGGGAAAATTGATTCATTCTCTCTTTTTTTTTGGTTTTGTTTCTATTTCTCACACCAACTACTTTTGCTGATTAAGATGGCCATTCACGCGATTCATTTGTGATAATTTTTTTTTTGCTATATCTAGAAATATTCTCGTGAGATTTGACTTTACCTGTTTCACTCAATAAGGTTTGTTCGACACTGCTGGTATAGCAGAATAGATGAGAAAAACTGATTTTTTTCTGACTTTTTGACAATCGATGATGGTGTGTTAGAGACCAAATGGTGTTGTATGCCAATTTGCATAACGAATTTTTGTTTTGTACATCCTTATAGTGATATATTCACATTCAACTCACTGAATCGTGCTTCAAATTGAATATTCAAACAAAATGTGAACGGGTTTTTTATATATGTAGCAGACAAATTAAGTGCATTTTGCTGTTGTTGTCTCATCATCAGATATGAATGATGAGCATATTTACCAGAATTGTTTTTTGTTGTTTGTATGAAACAATTGTAGTGAGAGAAAAAATATTTCATTCATTCATTAAAAAAATGTTTTATTTTATGTTTTATTCTATCTGGCTATACTATAGGTCGGTTGGATTCGTAATGAGGATAAATCAATTCTTACTATACAACATCAAGTTGTCACACGTAATAGCCGCATATCATTGACACAAAGTGAACATAAAATTTGGACATTACACATTAAAAATGTGCAAGAATCCGATCGTGGAGGTGTGGATGCTTGAAAATGTGATTTTTTTTAAATTATTAATGATTGATTTAAAATTATCCACCAGGTTATATGTGTCAAATCAATACAATGCCAATGAAAAGTCAAGTCGGATATCTTGATGTGACTGGTAAGTTTACATTTTTCCTCATTATTATGATTAAGTATGATAATTTCGCACATGAATATCAAAACGAGTGAATGAAAACCTAACGTCTTGCCACATGGATCACACACATTTACACAAAAACACATTGATACTTGATTGCTTTGTATTTTTTTTTGTCTTAAAGTTCCACCAGATTTTATCAATTCGGAAACATCATCCGATGTTGTCGTTCGTGAAAATCAGAATCTTACCTTACGTTGTAAGGCACGTGGTCATCCTGAACCAAAGTAAGTAACATTTTTTTTCAACCATCAGCTTCAACCAATCATAATTGATTATAGACTAACTTGGCGTCGAGAAGATAATAAGCCGATCGAATATGGCAATTGGCAATCGAATAAAGAAAGTGGATTCGAATATCGTGAGTTTTAATAATACCCATATAGCGTTGAATGTTTTTTGCTGATCAAATGTTTTGAATCAAAAAAAAAGCCAATTCCACCGAAGGTGAAGTGATCCACATAGAAAAAGTAAGCCGTCTTCATATGGGCGCATATCTATGTATTGCACAAAATGGTAAGTTGATTCGGTTTATTCACTGTAATCACACTGACATCTGACAAACATTTCAAATTGAACGAATTAGGTATTCCTCCATCGGTATCTAGAAGGATCGTTCTCCAAGTCAATTGTAAGTACATTGAAACATTTTAGTTGTCTCAAGGTTGCGGTTACAATCCATAACTACTTTTCATGAGAATTGTTTAGCATTTAATACTAGAAAAGAATCATTTCTTTCATTTCAACCGAAAAAACCTAGTTCATTTTCCATAATGATGACAGAATTATCCCTGGAATCCTTATGCCAGTGGCAGAATTTTTCTATTATTTAGTTGAGCTTGTCCAAAGAGTGCAAACAGAGAATTTTTATTTTATTTTTAGAACGACAATACAATGTTCCTGCCCGAGTGTTTATCCTGCCGACAACCAAAAAGCAGCAGTAGTTTTTCCATAAGTTTGTATGGCTATTGTGAGTATTGGGTAGGCCATTGTCAAGATGATGATCACAGATACCATAGGTGTCTGGTATATAAACTAACAATGTGCGACATAGTAATCTCTAAGGATTACTGATTCCATTCTGAACAATGAACGAATTTTTTTTTCACTCGTTCCCGGTGAGCAAAATTGTACAATAGAGTTATAGAGATTTTTGGCGACCAATTTCAATAATCATCCAGCTCAAGTCAGAACTTAGCGAGAATAAAGCATTCCACTTTTTTTTGATACTCTATCATCATGATGATAGAGGAATCGAGAATCTTTTCTTTCTTTTTGTTGCTCATTTGTTCTGTGGCCAAGAATAATTTTTCATTTCATACACTTAATCTTGAATCTGTCTATCCACATTGAATTATGGTGTACAAAAAAAAATGGCGTCAATATTGTTTTGCTAGCTTGTATGATGAACACAATATAAATGTAATCACTCATTGTTTCCCTTTATGTATGGGAGAGAATAATTTGTCACCGATAATAAATTGTTGTTACAAAGAATTGTTAAGTGAAATTTTTTTTAATCATCTTTAAATAATAGTTCCACCTATGATTTGGGTGCCTAATCAATTGCTGGGAGCTTCAATCGATGATCAAGTTATATTACGTTGCGATACTGAAGCATTTCCATTATCATTAAATTATTGGACAAAAGAAGATCGTTCTTCATCTACGAAAGGTGATGAACCAGATCATGCTGAAATTATGATTGTAAATTCAGATAGATATCGTATAGCCAACCAGGAACAATCATACAAAGTACATATGAAATTGGTTATCAAACGTATTACCTCCGATGATTTTGGTTGGTGAATAAAAAACAAAATTTTCATTATTCTAATAGTTTTTAATTATTTTTTTTCATAATAGGCACATACCGATGTCATGCTAAAAATAGTCTTGGTTCCACACAAGGATCCATACGAATCTATGGTATTTGGAACATATTTGAATATTTTACAATTTTATTCATTGTTTTTTCATTGTTTTGTTTTATTTTGTTTTGTCTTATTATAGAAATTCATCGAAATCCTTCATCATCATCAACATCGTCTGAATCGAATATCAGACCAATTACTACGGCCAGAAAGAAGGAACCATCTACGGCCAGAATACTTGGTTTGAATGGTATTACAATCAAACACGCACACACATATCACACAAACATATATATTTGACCTTGATGTGGCAGACGTGTATATACACGGGAAAAAATTCATTCACTCGTTTTTTGGGATCCAGGTTGCCTAATGTTGACACTTTTTTTCCCAAACAATTCAAAACAATCAGAAAACAAAAGGGAAAAAAACTTTGTTTTACTATCGATCGATTATTTGGGTTCTATTTTCTCTATAGTTGTTGTTGTCGAATCGAATCGAAATCGACAAACTTTTTTCTTTGGCTGTGTATTTGTGTAAAAGATTGCCATCACTATTTATATTATTATTATAGGGGTTTCACACTACAGCAATATTTCATGAAATATATACACGAAAATATTTCAGCCCATAAGGTTGAAATGGACTGAAATATTGCATTTGAAATATTTCATTCACATTGCTGCTAGTGTGAAACCCCTATTATTATTATTATTATCGTTGTTTGAAATGAAACCCGAATTGTCTTTATTTTCTAAATTGTAAATTTTTATTAGTCTAATATTATAACACAGGAACAATGTTGTTACACCAGCGGCAATAACAATAGGAAAAGAAGAAAATAAAAACAAAAAAATATAGAAACTTTGAGATTGAATGAACCGAATCGACAGGCAATCTGAAATAGAGAACAATTCAAATGCATGATGATGGGCCAATGAATTAAATTGAATTGAATTGAATTCGATTGTCGATTTATATAAGGGCCATTGTTTGTCAATCCAATTCCATTGCGGACAATGATGATGTTGCCCGTATATATATGACTTTTCTAATTTGAAATTCTTGCACACACACACAGACACACATATATTAGCTCACCACATACACATCAGTTTCAATGCAATATGGTTCACTAGATTTGAATTAAATATTAAGATTTTTGACAATTGACACATTGAAAATTCAGAAAGAAAAACAAAACCAACATGTGTCATTCACCCAATTTTTTTTCTTTTATTGATAAAGTTTCATTTTTTTTAAATTTATTTGTACCAGATTCATCAAATGATCCAATGAATGAAGAATATTATTCATCAAGAACAACTGAACATAAAGGTATTTTGTTTATTATTATGGTTATTTAAACTTATTTTTTAATTTATTTTAATTGAAATTATAGGTCAACTGATTCATACGTTATTAGTGTTCATACTGATTACCAGATTATTAGCATTTTAATCAACTCAAATCGATTAAACGATCATCACCATTTGTATAGATGCCAAATATACTTCGACAAACACCAACACACATTTTAAATATGAAACTATTTTCATAAATATACCAGTGGATTAGACCAAACTCACCACGAAAAAAAAACATAAACCAAAAAAAGGAAAAGAAAAAAAATTGTATTTTGTAAACACACACACATAAACATTTGTACGTAAATCTCATCATAAATCAATCTGTTTTAATTTTCATTATCAAATGGATCGATTATATTCAGCAATTGAATTTTTAAATAATGATAGCAATTGAATTTCATTATTCAAACAACAAACTAGCCAAACAAACATATATACATTCGCACATTCAATTCAATCAGTCATTGAAAAAACAACATATTAATTGTGAACATTTAATATCATCACCATTTTTTTCTATATCATTCATTTATTTATGATAATAAAAGAACTCGCCATATTTATAATCTTATAACCAACAATATTGGATTCTGTTCATTTTTTTTTTTTTTTTTTTTAATTTAGAGAAAAGAATCCTATACCGATAAATAGGATTATATATTAATACAAAAATAAATACAATTAATCAATGAATGAGAGAAAAGAAAAAAGAAAAAAAAACAACAAAAAAAAAAGAAAAATTAATCAAAAATATAGATAAATAAGGCATGGTAATAATTTTTTTTTTTTTTTAATATTCTGTTCATTGAAACATTAAGTGGAAAATAATATCATTCAGTTGATAAAAGATTCTGCCAAAAAAAAATTATCATCGCCATCTGTTATGAAGGAACAAGAATAAAAATTTTATTTAAAAAAGTTTCAATTACGATTCAGTTACACACTGGACAATTGATTTCAATAATAGAACTAATACTTATAATCTATTATAAAAAATCAATTGGATTGCTAGCTCAGCACAATCTCACATTATAAAAGTGTTTGCGTAAAAATGATGTCTTTTAATTTTAATAAAAAGAAAGAAAGAATCAAATATCCATTCAAATGATTGGTCACGTTCGAATGGACATTAGACCAATGTAAATTTACTGTTCATTTTGATTCGAAGTTTAGTTATATTTTCTAACCAAAAAATTTCCAATGATCGTATCGATTTCTATAATAGTAATTTGATCCGATTGGCGTAACAATCAAGATGATAGCAGAAAGTTAAGGAATAATAACATATGACGATTTTTCATCACTCAAATCAAAGAACAAGCCGTTCCTATTAATCAGTTTTTTTCTGATGTTTGCATATGTATTAACGTTCCGGTTACATAGTATTTGCATAAATACAAAGGTTAAGTTTATTAAAGCCATAGTCAATCAACTGATTGACAGTGATAATATGCTTGATCTGTGTAAATGAAACAAACGGATTGGTGATAGAACTTGAACTTGGTTCTCATCGATAAGAACGCTTTAACGTGGTGAGATGTAGATATGGAAAATTTTCCATATTTTTCATAAAAATCTTATTTGATCACGATCAGATATGTCAATAAATAAATAAGGGTAATAAGATGGAATGTTTTCATAATCAATATGTTAAAAATAAATTAAAAAACCGGAACTATTTAGTGAATAAACATTTACCATATCATTTCTTTTATCAAATCTTTGATTCGATTAGGAAAAAATTAATCATTTATTCAAATGATCGATAATAGGATTTTCACTTAAATCATATTCAACACTTATATTATTAGTATGACGTGATTATTATGAACAAATTATGGCAACAAGTACCCATCAACATATATAAATATAAATAATGAACTAACATAACATTTACCATAATTTGATGCATCGGTTTTTTACCACTGAAACAAATTGCAATTCAATTTCTGTCAATCAAAACTGAATTCTCTTAATTCATTGAATAGAATTTATACAACTTTAAGATTTGTACATCATTTGTTCCGAAACAATAATAATTTCAAATAATATAAACATCCACATCAATATCAATAATCAACCAAGTGACCGAGATATATTGTAAAAACAAAAAAACCCAAATCAGACGTTGGAAAGGCGGCCAAAGTTCATTGACCAGCATCAATAACGCGCAATTCTTCTTCAAAGGCCAAGGCATAGTCCTTGCAATTGCATCGTGAAAAAAAGTTCCTATACAAAAAAATATACAACCAAAATACATCAAAGAAAAATGTCTGGTAATACAGCAAATTCAAATTCATTAATTACAACTTTGATTTGCATATCGATTTATTTGATTTTATTTATATCTTTAAATAAATCGATTGCATCAGCTATTCCAATAGTCGGTAAGTGATAATTATTTCGATAATTAATATCATCACTAAAAAAACCATTATTATTATTGATATCAATAGATGAATGTCCTGAACATTCCACATTCAATCCATGCATGACTAGATGTCCAGTAACTTGTTCCAATTTTCACAGTGGTCCACCTGAATGTTTATCAATTTGTCAGGTCGGTTGTGAATGTCAACCAGGTTTCATCAAGGTTACCAAGAATCCATGGGGACCTTGTGTCAAACAATACGAATGTCAACTTTATACGTTAAACAGCTATAACAACAAACAACAACAACAAAAAAGAAATCGTCTTCCGATACACAATCCAAGACGAAAAATTAGCCAAATGAATCGATTACAACAATTAAATCGAACTCAAGCCAATATGTAATTTTTTCAAAAAGATTGACAAACACATAAACACACAAAAATAGCGAATAGAATTTTAATCATGTAAAATAAATTTCATCTTTTATTTTTAACAATTAATTCCTTATCGATTGAGCAGCGAACTAAGATAAGCTCGAATCATTGGTTTAGTCAACCGTAATAGATCATAACGAGTGACAGAACTATTCTCACCCAATACAATCAATATTGTACCATCTTGATTGAATGCAGTCTGACGAATTACTCGACTGTAGGCGCGTTGTGGTATCTGATTATTCTTTTTCTGCGGGCAAAGAATGACAGGAATTGGAACGGGAACTTCAAAAGCTAAACGATAATCTTTGGGATCAAAATGTTTAAGATCATAGATAAATAAATGTCCCTGTAGATTACCAACGGCTAAAACGAATTCATTTAGATCAAATGAAAATCGTACAAACCAAATATTATTACGATCCAAATCAAATTGGCGAATGATAACCACATTCGATCCAATCGAATCTCCATTCGAATCTGAAGTTCCGTGGATCGCTGAATCCGAATAATATGTTCGTCGTTCAAGATCATCTAGCGTATCGTTTTCGCCGGCACCCGGTTTCCATATAATTAATTTTTCATCGCAAGATTTAGTCACCAATAGATCACCAAACCATTGTACAGAATCAATGTAATTATGATGAACATCGCGAGTAGAATAATTGGGGAAATGTTGAGAAACGGTAGGAAATTGTTGAGCATTGTGATCCGAAATGAAATGGCGAGATGCTTCGATTGCTTTAGCTACTTCATGATGGCGAAATGACCAAATTTTGATAGAGTGATCAATTGATACCGAAACGAATATAAAACGTGACCTATGAAAATCAATAGCTAACACTTCATCACGATGACCTTGTACACCACCGAATATTGCAATCAATACATTTGTGGCAATATTCCAAAGACGAATACCTGAATCTTTTGATGCAGATAACATCAATGATGGATCACGAGGACAAATTTTGAGATCATTGATGGCGGCACCATGGCCATGTAAGGTTTTTGTTTCACATTGTCGCCTTACATCAATAATACGAATGACACCACGTTCACCAGCAACACATAGATATGGATGATCGGGTCGTTGATATTCATGTGACCAGCAGCAACAATAATATGAATCATTACGATCAGTATGAGCAAACAATGGTTGTAAACCATTATGATTCGTTTGCTGCTGATCGATCATGGGCAAACATCGATACGCAATAAGTACTGATTGGCCACAAACGGCAAAGACATCATCTGGGTAACTAAAAGGATTGAATGCTATACCATACATTACTGGAAATGTTGGATCATAAAGCGACGAATTCAATTTTAACATCAATGATGAGCTACAATCAACGAGGAATTTATCAGAACTCAATTTGGTTGTCATTGCCCGTTCATTCGTAATCGTTGGATTTGGGGAAGTTTGTTTAGTGAATTTATTTTTAGTTCTTTGTTTAATCGAAGACTTGGGACTAGTAGCCTGTTTTGATGTTGATTGTTGTTGCCGCCTTCGGGTAGATCGGGTATTCATTCGCTCATTTGAGTCTTCGTTTTCATCTTCGTCGGTAAAAGCCGTATCACTATGTGAATCTTCACTAAGACAATGGCTATGATTGACTGAGAAATAGTCTTTATTAAAATCCAAAAATGATCTGACAAATTGATTCAATGTTTCCAACTTGTCATTTGTCCATGCTTCAGAATCATCTTCGGCAGCATTTCTATCTTCGTCAAATAAATGTCGGCCACTGACCGTTTGTGACAAAAGTTGTAAAATTTTTCGAGCTAGTTCAGGCAGTTGATGGTCGGCCCACAAATCAATGAAATGATCAGCATTTACATCCTTTGATCGGAATTTCATTGAGCGAAGTCGGTCCAAAAGAATTGATTGAGCAGAATGAAGACAGTCGATTTTTGGATCGCCACCGTCAAATGGGCCATCACTACATTGATCAGTTTCTTGTTTAATCTCCGACATTACTTCTTGGCCATCTTCACCGGAATGTGCAAGATTCGACATACCAGAATTTAAGCTATAAGATGACAAACAGAATCGTTTGAAAATTGATTGATCCCGAAGAATTTTGCAACAAGCGGTCCAATTCATAGTGTACGTATGGTGATTATTAACTGAAATTTCTTGATGAATTGCATCATTCAATTTCATTTGCTCCAATATTTCATTCCATAAAAATGTCCTCACATAATGAATCGGAAATTAAATTAAAATTTCTGAAGCGAAAAAAACGTTTGGCACTATCTAATTTGCCTGAATACCCTGCAAAATGCGCAACACCATCATCCGAACGATCATCGACACCAATATCGGAATGTCGAACATCATTACCTTTGGTTAGATCGAAAGCACAAGAAAATGAAATTTTACATAGTAAACAATGCAGCGTTCCATCCAAACAACCATCATCTGTCAAAAATCCTCGGGAAGATATTAACGCACAACAACAACCCGCTTGCTATGAATACATAAAACTAAACGATGTACAGCAATTGTTTCCATTAGAATCTGGAAATTTAATCAACATTTATGGTATAATCGTCTCTTATAATGAAGATGGCATCATGATCATTAAAGATGAAACATGTGATCGATTTCGTTTCTATCCTAATTTGCCAACAAGCATTGCCAATGTCCGACTTACAACGACAATTGAACTTGTGACCACCGATGAAAGTCCCACATCTGTCAACGAAAACAATTGTTATTCATTCCAAACTGGTGATATTATTCGTGTTCATCGACTTACATTGAATCGTAATTTAATGCATCGAACTCGTGCTCTTCGGAATATCGTGGTAATTTGCATTTTTACTTGATTATGTTTTATTAAAATGATAATCCAAATTTCATTTAATAGATTTTTGAATCATTCGGCGATGAGGAACAATTCAGACCGATTTCAGTGGCGGAAAATCCAACTATCGAAGTTTATGATCACGAACGAGTTGAAGAATTGAATCGATGGCAGATTTCTAATTTATTGGAAGAGCCATTGGTACAATCATTGTCTAAAAATCGAGAATGTGAAGTAATAAATGCAGCATTGCTCGTGTGGAATGTATTTGATTTTGAAAAACGAACTGTTGTTTGCTGTTGGACTCCATCATTAAAATTAGTATCGGAACATCCTTGCTATCTATTAATGTCCTTCAATTCTATTTATACCGTCATGGAAGAGAATGAAAATCGTCATTCGTTTTCACATCGTTTAATTGATCGCATATATTACAAAAATCAATTAATCTTCTTAATAATATTTGGTAAACATCGTGATATGGCGATCAAGCTCAAATGTTGTGATACGATAATTTGTTATCAAATTGTTCGTAAACCTGATAATTTCTATCCTGGTCATTTTTCATATATTCTACATGATACTTCTACTTATGGCCAATGTATTCGGCTAGCTCATCCCAATTCACTGATAGGTATTCATTATTTTTAATTCTAATAATGCTCATTACTTGATCTATCTTGATTCTTACAGCAAAAAAGATGCGAGAAAAAATGATCGAATATGTACAGAATCCGCCAGAGATTTTAGACATGGATCAATTGGATCAGGATCATATGTTTGCATTTAACGAAAATTTACGCAGATACAATTCTATGGCTATTCAAGAACATGACGAAGAACAACAAGAATTTCATAATCAAAATCAAACTACCGAAAACTTGGTAACCAATGAATCACAAAATGAATCAAAAATGGCAGACCCCTTTTTCAATGCTGAATCTGAGTCATGCACTCAAAATGACAATGGTTTGTCATTAATATCAAACACAACTTTACCAATTCAAAATTATGATAGTTTTTCATTAATATCAAATGAGCCTTTGCCAGATCAAAATGATAATTTAGTGGCGAGTTTTTCACCTAAATCGTCTAATGACACGACGGAATTAGTCATGGCTCTTGATCCTTCGTTATCATTCGATATTGATGATGAAGAAATAGAAATTATCAATCGACATCTAAATAGTAGAGGTTCAAAATTACCCAGAGAAAAAATACCGAAGAGTTACTTTATATTACATCATTCAATGCACCAACTAGAAAGTTTATTCATTGGTGAACGAGTTCTTTTGGAATGTTGTCTTTATACGTATTATGGACAAACTCAGAAAGGTGATCGATTCTTCGATTCAATTGAAAGACTTCATTCATTTGCCACAGTGGTCATGTGTCAGAATGATTATCACCTTGGGCGAAACTGTGGATATCAATCCTCATTTGAAACATATCGATTCTCTGTTAATGAACCACCCGATAAAAATTTTACATTTCGTTGTCCCAACTGTAATCAATTTACCTGTGAACTTTGCCTCGATTTGACCATTATACTAAAAGATTGTTATGGAAACCTTCTCGAATGTCATTGGACCGGGTTAGATTCGAATCGTTATTTTGGCTGTTCATCCAGAGATTTATTCACGATAAGCACTTCTCAACCTACTGATAAAAAACCATTGTTGTTGGTAAGAATTAATGCACTTCTCAAATACTTATGGCGTGCATCTAGGACGTCGAGCGACAAATATGATCGTCATATTGTATGGACAGTGGTAGTGTGTCGTTCTAAACAACCGGGAGTAGAAGTCGAATATCAAATCATAAATGTTGACGTATATAAAACGGAGAAAAACTCAATTTTTAAAATTTAAAAGCAAAAATTTTTATTTGCATATATTGTAATTATTTTTTTCCAAATGTAAATTAAAATCGGAATAATCAGTTTTCATAGACCCATTCATATTGGGAAGGTTTATAGTTGACCAATTCTTCTGGCCGAAACCATAAATCGATTTCACGTTTTGCTGTCTCAACTGAATCACTTCCATGAATGATGTTTCTATATTATCAAATATGGATTAATGTTTAAAAGGATCATTGACAGTTTTGAGCGTCTAAACTTACCTGCCAGTTTGAATGCAAAGATCACCACGAATGGTACCGGGTTTTGATTCAGCTGGATTTGTTTCGCCTAACATGACGCGACCGGTTTTGACAGCATTCAATCCTTCCCAAACCATTGGTACGACTGGACCCATTTGCATGTATTTGATAAGGCCAGGAAAAAATGGTCGAGCAGCCAAATCAGCGTAATGTTTCTTAAGCAAATCTTCGGATGCCATCATGAATTTCATGGCCACCAATTTGAAACCTTTGGCTTCAAAACGTCGAATAATTTCTCCAACGATACCACGTTGTACGGCATCCGGTTTCAGCATGATAAATGTTCGTTCAGTATTAGCCGACATTTTGCAAATAGTTTTATTAATTAGACGATGTTTGGATGTTATTTTATGTAAGAAAACCAAATGGCAAGGACAATGATGTGAGAAAAGATGAGCCTTTTATACTTTTGCTCCAGCATGCCAACCACGGCATCTCAGCATGTCATCATCGCAACAGTCACAATGGGTTTAATATGTTCTGATCGTTTGTTAAATTCTGATAATAAATTAGCATTGTGACCACTCTTATGCGTAATGACACGTCACGTGCAAAAAAAAAATGGTAACGTGTTCTATGGATGGTATTGTCAAAAAATTTGTTTTCGAATCTAAATTCTGTTATTCTGGCCCACTCCCTCTAAAAAAATTCTTGAGTATAAATCAAATAATGATTAAATCATCATCATCATCATCATTAAAACAAACATTACCTCAAAATAATTGTGATAGAATGAGCGGAATACCATTATCATTGGCAGATCGACTATTTGAATATCGATGTCAATTGGACCTTTCAAATGAAATGATCAAATTACTAGAACAGCAGCGATCATTATATCGATCACATTTTGAACATTGTAAATGTCACTCGATCGACTTGGATCTGCAACAACAAACTAAATGGAGAATGGATCGCCTACGCCAAATTGATGATCAATTAGAAACGCTGTATCGAAAACGGTACGATCCTCAATCGCCATCATCTAGTGATTCCGATGTGAAATATTCGATGTTAAATTCATCCGACCGATGGCCAGATAAAAGAAGATCCAGGATGTTAGGAATAGATATGAAAACATGTATGTACTGATGTTGATGTTTCAAATTTTAATATGGACAAGCTGGAACTTTGATTCTCCGATTGTTTTATAGTTTTGTCACAACAATTAAAAGATTCATCTTACGACAAGAAGCCGATGAAACCGAAAGTTTGTTTCCGACGTCGATTCAAATGTTCGGTCGATAAAAAATGTCGTTTTGTTTGTCTCACCGAAACAGTGCTGCTTCGACATCAGATCGAACATCGCCGTGATAAATTTTTGCAGCTCATCCAACCATATGGATTGACGTTAGCGTCAGATAGTTGTAAAGTGATAAAAATAAAAGACAACAGCAATGAACATGAAGCTCGATTAACGTCGAGTCAATGTTCATTTCCATTTTGTACATTCAAATTTTCAGCCACTAACCCTGATTGGCAATCAAAATTGTCCCAACATTTCGAGCAAGATCATTTGTCCGCTTACATAATGCATCCATGCTTTATATGCAGACGAATGTTCGAGACCCAAGATGATTTGCAGAGACATTTCAATTTTTCTCTCATTTGTTCGTCTTTAAATCAACAAGCCGAACAGCCGATGGATTTCGATGCATATGAATCAAAACCAGAAAATTCAGCCATTTCCAGTAAACAACTGCATTCAATCGGCAGTGAGACAGAGGAAACTTTTGATGATGACCCCACTACTTCAATGAATGATTTAATTAATGGCTTCGATGATAACATAGGTTTAGAGGTTTTTATTGAGAATACAACTACGCCAAACAATACTGAGCCTAACAATACAGACGAGTTAATTTTGGATAATTTTTTTGATCATCTTGATTCTGCTCAACAGCAAACAATGAATTCGGATGAAATTCAATCGGAAAACCAATCAAATAAGGTTGATAACATTTCATTACAAGTATTGGCTCCTGATTACAATTATTGTGATGATCGTGATCATACTTATCATACCGACGGGCCTTCATTAACAACAGCGCCATCACTTGTTGATGACCATGATGATTACACTAAGAATAATGATGATCAATATCCGATTTTGTTTGAAACTTCAACATCCAAATCGGGTGAATTCTCCTCCTCTCCGATAATTGAACATAAAACATCATTGGAGTCATCGTCATCACCGCTGATTATGACTAGTAAAAGCAGTGAACTTACCGTCATTGACGACAAAACATTCGGTGATGATGAACATCACTTGAAACAATTGTTCAATCTTTATATATACGAATGTACAAAATGTTCATATAGCTTTCAATCCGAACGAGAATTTTCATTGCACAATTATATTGTACACAACATACCTTCATATAATTGTGGTCGATGTGAATATGTAACACAGGATACGGAAAAATATAACCGTCATGTTCAGTTGCATGATAAAAGCAAGAATAACGATAAAGCTGACTGTAACATGGAATTGTCAATATGCACCATATGTTCCGAATCATTTTCATCAGAATTCGATCTCAGACAACACTTGAATGATGCTCATCAAAGCTATCGATGTCCTCATTGTGATGTTTTAGTCATGAATAAATTTGTTCTTCGATCACATATGCAATCTTTTCATCCGGATTCTGTGCAAAAATGTCCTGTTTGTTCTTACAAAACCTTCGATCCCATTTTATACGAACAGCATTGTCGTCGCCATAACCATTCAAAATGTTGCACATTTCCGGGATGTACGGATGAATTCGCCAATGAAGATAGTCTTGAAGCACATGTGAATAGATTTCATCGATTTACTAAACCTTTTGAATGTGATGAATGTTTGGAAAAATTTTATTCATCACGAATGCTTAATAAACACCTTATCAATATGCATAAACGATTTCTATACAGGTAGGTGATCATTTATTTATGCCTTGTTGTTTCATAATGTATGAAAATCGTTTGTTAAGCTGTAATCAATGTACATTCAAAACCAATAATAAATCAGTGTTGACAAAACATGAACAATGTCATTCATCTGTAAAACCATTCGAATGCCAAGAACAAGGTTGTTATCGACGATTTCGTTCTCGATATCAATTGTCATCGCATCAACGGCATCGTCATTGTCAACGAAAGGATTTTCATTGCACACAACAAGGATGTGAACGGGAATTCAAAACAAATGCACAACTAAGACAACATTTGCGTTCGGCGCATCTGGAATCCAATAATGACGGTATTAATGAAAAAACTTCCGCCAAAATCAAAGATGATTTGACAAAAAAACCAAATATACAATTTTATGTATTCGGTGGTGGTAGCTTACAGGTTGCAAATATTCATCCACAACAATCATTGATGAACACTGCCATCAAATCTGGATCCAATCATCGTCTTAATTTAAGCAACAAACATTCGACCATCACAGGACGTTCTTTAATAAAATCAAACATTGCACGAGAATCGACATCTATTTTAACAACGACAATCACTAAAATCGATGAGAATGACGTGAATAACTAGAAATTAATCTGACGGTAAGTGAATCTATTTTTTTGTATACAGTTTTTATTAATGTTGAGGCATGCATACACTGTTGAAATTGGAAGATAATAGCCAAACAATAAAGAAAATAAGTGAGAAAATATCAATTAGACAAATGCAAATGGTGCATAGGAAGATGGATGATATAAGGCAGCAGCAGCCGCTGCTACTGGTGAGAATGCGGCAGTTGTCATCGATAAAGGATTCGTTGCTGCCAAAGGTGATACTGGTTGCGGATGTACCGCTGCTGCAGCTGCTGTATATGCTGCTGCTTGTTGTAAAGCTTCCTGGTAGGCTGCTGCTGCCATTAGATTGTATATTGGCACTTGGTGCTGATGGGCCGGATGTCCTGATGAACTCGCTAATAACATTTGAAGATATGGATTTGATGATGAAGTCATCATTGGATCAGACTCTTGACCACCGTTGTTATTGTTTGGTTCTGAATCGTCCGTATCGGATGATCCAGAGATACGAGCTCCACTTGAACCAGCTGCGGAAGCTGATGAAGCTAATGCAGGACTTTCGGCAACCAATGATTGATATGCAGATGAAAGACCATCAACAATAGGTCGACGGTATTGGTATACTATCCGTATGACTGATGGTATAAGCAACATTTGGGTTTTATGCTGTCGTAATCGAAACATGAGGTTGCCGATCATTGTTCGGAACGGATATGGATTTGGTACTCCACCCGCCGATGTCGTTGACAGGAATGTTGACATTAATGGCTTTAATAAAGCTCCAGAGCTCTGCGACGGACTGTTGTTTATTATATTTGCCGAATTTGTGCTGCTGCCACTAGGTTTACCACTTAGACTTTGACTATTAGTTGATGATGATAAACCTGATGTTGGATTCTGTTTTAGTTGGGCCAATGAAGATGATTTCTCAATTCTTGAGTTCGTAACCATAGCCATTGATTGAGCAATGAATAAGGCTAAGATAAGGATTGAGATTGTGATCGAGATTGATTTGGCCATCGGGTGCGAATAGCTGGTCACTATCGATTGCTGTAATGATTGATTAAAGCGAACATACATATTGAGATCATACAACTAACGATGGCTGCGCTATGATGATGAGTAAATTTCCACCGGAGATATACTTTACTTTAGACCAGGTGATCTCTCTTAGCCATTATTATCAGCCACTGTCAAGGTTTGCCTATTTGCACCAGATTCAAAAAAAAAATTTGAGAGTTGAACCATCCGCCCGAGAGTAAAAGAAAGGAGAGAGAGAAAAAAAAATTATTTGACGTGAAAATGGTATCTTTGCTCTGGTTGCAACTATAGTTATTTAGATTGAGAGTTGTTCAAGTCGTGTGTCATTGAGTGTATGTGACAATCAGTATTCATAATTCTGAATGATAATAATAATGATGATGATGATGATGATCGCTGTCATTATGAGTTGATCCATATTATGAGGCTATTATGTCAATGTTTTGACATTTATTCTGATCTTCATAATGATGATGATGATCGTTGAGCTCGGCAGCACTCGCTCATTTCACGGCTTCTTGGCAACTGTCAATTCATCATCATTCATTCGTTCATTCATTCAAATAGGCAAACAAACATTAATGTCTCTCTATCTCTCTCTCCAAAAAAAGATCGTTGGCTTACTATAAAGAGTTTGGTTTAAATTTGTTTGTCAACAAATAAATTTGATCCAAAACGAATCATAATGATGATGATGAACAATGGACTAATCAATAACAATGAAAACTTCATGAATGAATGAGGCGAACAAAATTGTCGCCTTTTTTAAATATGTATCTCGTAATATAATGTAGAGTTAGAAATGTAAGCCAAAAATAAAAATAGTATGATGGTGATTATTGATCCAACTTGTAGGTGAAAGCAGAGATCATTACAGCACTACATTAGGTCATTCGAGTCAGTCGATCTGAACAAAAAGAAAATGTTTGCCGATTTTGATGACGCTTTCGGCGTTCAAATTGATCACAGTCAAACCGAATGAAAAAAAGAGAGTTCTGATAGGGAATTCAAATTTAAATCGAGCATCCATTGTCTGTATGATTGTCAATTTATATATTTGTTTCTATTGATAAAAAGTCAGTATTGTCTTGATGAAAATGCCAATTCGCTTTCTACAAATAAAATGAGGCCAGAATTACTTGTGAACCAATAAAAGGATCATCATCAAAGCATGTGACTAATGATTACAGTCTACTTGATAGAGTTATTGGTCAAGAAGTGAAAATTTCCATAAGCAAATTTTGCCTGTACGGTTTGAACCATTTGATTATGTGTAATGAGATCAACTTTGTCGTATTAGTCTCAATCCAAGCGATAAAAATTTTAAATACAAAAATGAATGCTGTTATGATAGTGATAACAATAAATGTTTTTTTTTGATAGTGAAATAAATAATTAACAAGCATACATACCCGAATGAATGCCTTCATGTCGATAAGGCCGAATTTAGCATAGGTCAATCCATAACGATTTTGTGTGTGAAATTTTTCAATGTAATGACTCACCTTGAACTGCATCCGTAATGAATGAAATTTAATGCGAGAATTTGCTGCAAGCAAATCTGGCGGACCAGATTTGTGTATTTTTTTCGTGTACATTGCACAGATTATATGACAGCCAAACAGACCAATCCATTGTTGTAAGATTATAAAAAAGATGCAAAGCTTTTGTATAAATGGTCTATCTTGTGATTGGAGCATCAATGTGCCTATCAGGTAGATGCTTGATGGCATTGTAGCTAAAATAGTAGCTACCAATATTGGCAAATAAATACGATTCATTTGGCATACAAGAATAAACAATCGACTATGTTCGATCAAAGAACGCCATAATAGCCGACTATGACGATAACGATAACGTCCACCCCAATCAGCCATCATTAATTTGATCTGATTAAATTTTATGAATGTTATGTATGTGAATAGTACTAGTAAAACGTTGACAATAGACAGTATTTTAAACATGAAATAAGCAAATGCTGATATTTTCCAACAATTTACTAAGAACAATGTAATTCGTAGCAATTTTATAATGTTCAGTGGTCCATCAAAATAAAACTTAGCCGAAGATGTGGCAACAATGCCTACGGCAGACAAGTTTATATAGATGATAACCAAATCAACAATAATCAGAGCATGTTTCCATAATCGCACAAAACGATCTGCTTTATCAACTACATAATGTGCACAATCGATTAGACCGTTATTCTCTTCCATTAACCCATAATGATGCGAACCCATCCATTGCCATAGAAAGAACTGTGAGGATCGTTGAATATAGATACTAGAAATGATGGGCCATATTTTTGACGGATAAATTAAATAAACAATACGATAGATATAACCAATCCATAGACCACAAAAAGCAAAGAATAAATTTGAAACTGGCTGCATGCCGACCAAGTATGTTATATTGAACATAAGGATTCGTGTCTGGTCAGAAACATCAAACATGTATAAAATTAACATTTCTAAGGTGAGCATTCCAATGAAACTGATAATATATTGGATATATCGCCGTGTACGTTTATCATGTTCAATATGAATTTGCACAAATCGGTTACAGAATTCACGAAAATAATTGCCTGATCGAACTATAGTTGGCATGATTGTTTCTTTCTCGTTCATCTATGACTTTCTAGCAATGAGCCTTACTCTTGTCTGAAACTAGTTTATTAGAATCGTTATTTTTTATAGATCTTCTTTTGAGAAATATGGTTTCCGTTATATTGTCATTTATAATACTTTCAAATTCCGATATTTTATGTTGGTTGGAAAAAAATGAATTTTGAACTAAGTGTTTCATTACTTATTTATGATAAATGATTATATATTTTTTCTTTCATTTTCTTGACAGAAATTTTACTCTTAAAAATCGAACGTTTTTTAAGGGTTTGAAAATGGTGTTTTAATAGTAATGATTCACAGTTTCAAAACTGTTTTTTGCAAGTGAAATTTCTGCGAGGGTAACACACTTGTTTAAAATAATATATTTTCCATACCAGCCTAAATAACAAGGCCATTTATAAATAAATTATATTAGTAATCATTTAACCAAAATGATTTTATAATAAGCTAATTCTGAAAAAGTGGATAATTTTTTTTTTCATTATGATTCAAATCGATTTTTTGTCTTAAAGTTTTCCACTATTTTTGTCTGTCTGAATTATTTTTGATTTCCTGTTATTTTCTTTCGTTTACATAACGATCAATTATTATTGTCATTAATTTTGTTCTAATAACTCAAATTTTAAATATGTAAAAGGCTTTTAGAAAGTTATAAAACCTATTTTCGCTTCGGATGTGATAACCAAATTGATAGTAACTTTACAACAATAAAAATCTTTGTAGTTTATTGAAAATCATTTTTACGCCCATTCATTTGTCCCTCTTGATTCTGCTAAACAACTTCCCAAATGATTTATACTAGCATCTATCAATATGATGAGCTAATTATCTATTCTCATAGGTTTTTTTTAAATGAACATAACGTTTTTTTTGAATGAAAAAAAGTTATTGTTTTACTTTATATAGCAATGTAAACAAGCAAGCACACAGCTGCAATTATAAACAAGCGGCAATTGAACCAATTCGTATATTTATTTAATCACTGTCCGTGTAATCGATATTCTTCATTGCAATCTAAGCATCAATTTTAATGTGAAGCCAATCAATTTATCATTTTTTCTAAACATATTATATATTATACATATCATAAAAGCTACTCATCTTTATTATTATTATTATTTATTTTTATAACAGAATTTGACCATTTACTGAATGTTAATCACGTAGAAAATTTGAGAATATCATAACAAAAAAGTGATCGATGAGAACGCAACAAGTTTTTTTTAATGGAAAGCTATCATCATTAAACTCATACAAAATCCTTATCAAGGCGCATCCAATTTCCATTGGTGTTAGGCTGTTAATTACTGTAATTAGATCCAGTTATTATAAATAGATAAGCTTGATCACATCAGACCAAAGTGTAATTCTAATTCATCGTTCGATCATTGCTTAATGCCAAAATCTATGATGGAACCGCAATTCATAATGGATAGTAATAAAATGCGCATCGTGTACACTATTCTCTTATTCATCACACAAATTGCCTTCGTATGTGATTTAATTATCCTTGTTGAATTTTTAAAATCTGTTTTCTATAATTAAATAGGGACTCTCATCGGCTGTTTACGGACCCACTTTGGTCGATCTGTCGGTTATATTCAGCAAAAATAATGATGACAATTCCACGAACGATGATGGACTAGGCCCGGTATCGTTATTTTTTACATTTTTCTGTGGTGGTTGTATAACTGGTTCATTCTGTAAGTGATTTATGATTATTCCTCTAAAAATAAAATTATTCATTATTGTTTTCAATTAGTTACCAGTTTGTATAAATTTGAGATTACGAGGCAGTATTTAAATCGTCAATTCACATTTTCCATTATTATGATGTTGGCTTCGATATTCCATTCTTTCGTACCTCGAATGCCTAACATAGCAATGTTCTATTTGGCCGCATATGGTAGCGGTTTTGGCCTTGGTACATTCAACGCTGTCTGTACTTCATGGTTAATGGAAATGTGGCATGGAAAACGTCTCTCGTCCGTTCTTCAAGCTGGTCAATTTATGTATGGCGTCGGATCTATATTCTCCCCTATCATGGTTAAGCCATTTATCCATGGCAACAAAGCAAATTCAACCAATCAAACTATATTCGGACCAATTGAAAGACGAGATGAGCTTAGCACTCCATATTTTATTTCCGGTGCTCTTGAATTTGCCAGTAAGTTTTCTGAACAAACATTTGAATTTCTTTTCTTTTTTTCTAAATTCAAGTTTCTTTTCATCAGTTGGAGCCAGCTTATTTGCCTTGTTTTTTATATATCGATATCGAAAATATGACACTCCATCTGACATGGCCAATGGTGGATGGGGTGGGTCGTCACAACCAGAAAAATTACTGGACGATCCACGTCATTCATGCAAACGTTTATCTTACCATGTGCTTATCACAGCTATATTCGCCGCATATAACCTCACTGAAATTGGTTTCAGCAGCTTTCAGAATGCCTATTATCAACAACGTAATGTTTCGGTCGAAAATGCAGCTAATCTGGGATCCATTGGATCAGCTGCTTATACATTGGGACGTTTGGTAAACGTAGTATTAACACGGTTTTTGTCCATTTCACTACTGCTATATGGTCATCTCATATTGGCTGCATTTGGATTCATCGGACTCTATCTGATTCAAGACTATCTACAAATGGCAATGTGGGCCTTGATAATTGATTCGGTACTCATTGGTTATGCTCAATCAGCCATTAATCCGGCATTGTTTGGTTTTGCTGCTTCCTTTGCTAAACTGGATGATCGCCACAATTCCATTTATTACACCGCTTTAGGCTTACCAATGTTGTTTGCGCCCTTTATCATCGGACCAAACATTGAGAAAATGCCTAGTATCGTTTTGCATCTTGCCTTGGGACCTATCATTCTTACGATGGTGTTGTTTATCATCATACGATTGATCATTGGTAGTGCTCGTCGTTCAATGTATAATTAAGAGTGCTTTTAATCAATTTTTATCCTGCTCTATGTAGACGTTATAAAATGAAATTATTATCTAGATTAAAAATGTTCTAATCAAATGATTTTAAAAAAATTTAGCTAAATTATTGATCTTTTATTCCGGCATTTATGAATGGTGCAGTTAGTTGATTAGCTGATGATTTGAATGGCTATCGATTTCAGTGTTGATAGCAATTGATGCGCTCATTAAGGTCGTCAAGTATATTCATCATCATATTACAATGATCGCCCATAAAAACATTCGACTCCTATCTATTTGGAGAAAATTTTGTCCAAAATGGCAAACAATGTCAATGTCAACAATACCTGGCAACCAAGAAGAACGACAAGTTTATATCGTATCAGCAACTCGAACACCAATCGGTTTATTTCGTAGCCAATTAGCTAAATTCACTGCACCACAACTTGGCGCGATCGCCGTCAAGGCTGCCGTAGAAAAATCTACTCTTCCAAAGGAATGTAAGTACAATTCGTTGATTTTGTAATCGATATTAATGTTTGGTTTCCAATTTCGGTACAGCATTCGAAGAGGTACAAATCGGTAACGTGATGCAAGCCATGGTTGGCCAAGACCCAGCTCGGCAATGTGCACTCGGTGCTGGTTTGCCGATTACCACACCGACAACTACAGTGAACAAAGTATGCGCTTCCGGTATGAAAACCTATATGATTCTGGCACAAGCAATCCAATGTGGTCATATAGATGTTGCCGTGGCTGGTGGAATTGAAAGCATGTCGAATGTACCTTTCTTTTTGCCACGTGGCGAATTACCTTATGGTGGAGCCAAATTGATCGATGGTATCGTTCATGATGGGCTCACTGATGTATACAATAAATTTCACATGGGTGTATGTGCCGAACGAACGGCCAAAAAATTTCAAATCACACGTCAGGAACAAGATGAATTTGCTATTAATAGCTATCGAAGAGCTGCAGATTTTGCCAAACTTGTCACTTCGGTGGAAATCACACCAGTCGAAATACCCGGTACAAAAAAACAACAAGCATCGCAAATGACTGATGATGAAGAATATCAGAGAGTAGATTTTAACAAATTCGCTCGGTTGGCTACTGTTTTTCAAAAAGAAGATGGTACCGTAACTGCGGGAAATGCCAGCACATGTAAGTGAAGATCGAACCTAATATAAGAATACTAACAAATTCATATTGATGACATAGTGAACGATGGTGCTTCCGCTGCAGTTCTAGCATCAGGAAAAGCTGTTAAACAATTTGGTTTAACTCCGTTAGCGAGAATTGTTGCTTTCGCTGATGCATCTGTTGATCCAGTAGATTTCCCTGTGGCCCCAGCCTATGCAGTGCCAAAAATTTTGCAACGTACTGGTTTGAAGATCGAAGACATTTCTATGTGGGAAATCAACGAAGCATTTAGCGTGGTTGTATTGGCCAATATACGAATGCTCAAAATGGATCCAACCAAAGTCAATATCCATGGTGGTGCCGTCAGTATCGGTCATCCACTTGGAATGTCCGGTTCGAGGATCGTCAACAAATTAGCTTTACATTTACGTTCGGGAGAATATGGCATGGCCGCTATCTGTAACGGAGGTGGAGGGGCTTCTGCTCTTCTCGTACAAAAATTATGAAAAAACTAAATATTTGCATAATGAATTTTTTTTTTATTTACTCTGATATTCAATTAAAAGCTAACATTTCGCATTCCAATGTTCGTATGTTAACAATAACGCCGATATGTTTTTCTCTAAATGAAGGCACCGAAATCAATCGGATAGTTTTAGTTTTAGCTTCACAATCAGCAGCTTGTTCATACTTGGGCACATCAAATGTTGCACAGCTGAATTCTGGTTGATTGCCAGCAAACAAGACATCTGGATATTGATCGATGACCAATGGATCGTGTTGAGAAAATGGATATGAATGCAATAGATCAGGACACGCGGGTGCTAAATGACCCCATTGAAGCAAGTTTCGCATAATTTCTATCGATTCATTCCAACTTGTACATGAACAAATTGAATTGATATTTTCACCAGAAGTTCCAAGAAAATCGACACCGAAATATTGGGCTCTATGAGGATTAGTCACCGAACGTATGGTTGACAATCGAAAAGCTTTGGGAAAAAGACATGGATGTATGGGTTGTTGTGGGTAAAGACCAGTACTTATATCCAGACTGCCGGGCATAATATCTACAAACATATATTTGCCAACATTCGCTAAAAATCTATCCAACATTTTAACCGCATCGTTAGAATCGATCTCACTTTGAGATAACAAATCCTCGGATTTAGAACCACCATTGAGATCAATACTGTTGCCCGCTAATATGAGATTGACAATCGTTTTATCCATGATTGAGTCAGAATGGCCAGTAACCAAATCGAAAAGTAGATTCAATGATTGTGAAAGTTTCTGGTCGTTCAAAAAAGTATTACTGTTCAAGTTCAAACCAGAAATGATCAGCATATAGTAATCTTTATTTGTCAACGGACGATCCACAGAATTTTGGATCAAGGCAAAACAATAATCTTCCACAATGAAACCAGAACCATTGGGATTAAGCTGACCTTTTGCAACCAAACATACACCAGTACATAACTGATTGATGGGCAGATCATCTCCCTTTAATTCAATCGATTCATCACCATCTTGTAAAAACAATGTATCATTTGGCGAGCAATAATTTTTACAGCTTTCTTCCAATGGTTCAATAAGTTTTCGTTCGTCATCCAATTCTTTGAGAATGTTTGGTTGTTTGGACATTCGTTTTAATAGCATACCGCATACGACGACATCTTTGCCGAATAATGTACCATGACGGCAATCCTGTTCAAGTAACTCATCATTACTGTCTTGAGAAAATTTGTCAGCTTCGGCTTTTGAATCAGCCAAATCACTAAGCGTATAAATGGCAACACCAGGCCAACGATATTTTGCAGACAAAATCAGTGATCGTTTCATTTGATTAAGACGGGCTCGGTAATACGGAAAATACTGGAGATTGCAGTCATACTTTTTAATAAGAAATGGGTCATTTTTGTAGATGACATCGCGTTCGGGCAATGTTATACTCGTTTTCGTCATTATCGATTCTTAAATACAAGACTTCTTTTTGGCGCAAAAATTTGTGCTTTATACGAATCGAGTTCAGTGCAAATATAAGCTCATGACAGATGTCAGTGCCATCTCTTGTCATCGGGATTGTTTATCATACCCTGATTTCTAAATTTTGTTTCCTGCATCTAAAAAGTTGTGTAAACACAATTCTTTTCGTTCAACTTATGATTAAAATGATGTTTAGTAACTAATTTTTCTTTTATAAAATGACATTTGACATTCAATCAAACAGATTTTGTTGGATTTTATCTGTTTAGCCTAAATATTTATGAACGAGATTTGACTGTTTTTGTGTTGGTCAAATGCATGGTCAGAAAATATATTTTGATCGAAACGGCATGGCAAAGATATGCTGAGCTGTCTGCTCGCGATCGTCATTGATGAAAGTCACAGAAGAAGGACATAACGCTTACGCTTTAAAGTTTACCATCAAAGTTGAATGCTGAATTAATGGTGCCTCTACCATGCATATTGAATTAATTTACAGAACGCACATCACATGCTGTGATGTATCGGTACTCATGTTTTATTGCTTACAAACTTATTGCGATCGATCTATTTCGTAAAAATTCTAACAAATAGACAAAAAATCAACTCGTTTTTTCAATTGACATTATTATTTCTATAAGAATTGGTCATTGAGGGTTCCAGGCAAAGATATGTATGCTGTTGCCAAAGAACATCGTAGCAATAAACTTTTGACTCAAGTTCGTCGTGGTTAGTTAATTCGATATACGAAAATCAATAATTTTCGAATTTTCACAATTTTTTTTGAATTAGCTCCAACATTAGATAAATTTGATGGTCCAATTAGTGTAAAAAGGCCAAATCCTATCGAACTTAATGAAATTTGGTAAGTAATTCGATTTCGAATAGCTATTTCGAAAACAATTAGAATTTTCTGTTACATAATAGCAAACCAGCCTTACAATTGAAACAATGCACTCTTCATGCTCAACACAATAGAATTTATAGAGCAACGCACCAAGATCAACAAAATGATGAAATATCTACTCAACATGAGGACATGATTCGTTTTATCAATGATAGTAAGTTTTTAACATCCACATTCAATATTAATGACACAAAAATCTGTTTGCTTAGGCTGGCGTCGTATCCAACGAGAATTGGAATATTTCGACAATAGCAACCACAGTAACAATAAAGCTTCAGATGTTTGTGATAATAATCAGGTAAATGGCAACAAGATGACGAATGCGACAGATACCACTATTGTCAAAATCATACACATCAACAGTTCAACTTCGTCATCGATTCCAAGTAAGTTATTCATCTTTTTTTATTTGACCATTTTATGACTTTGATTGATTTTATTCATAGAAAATTTTGTCCCGTTTGATTTGGAATCATTTTTTGGACAACGTTTCCTCCAGAAATTACTTCAATCTTCATCGTAGAAAACGAGAAACTGTTTAGGTCTTTCGATAAAACAATGCACCAATGGTCTGCATTTGCGAATCTGTTCTGGTATATAAATTTTAGTCTTCTCAAAGCCTGATGTTAATTGTAAAAGCTTCAGAGCAAATGACAATTTGTGATACATTATTTCAGCTCAAAATTATTTCCTCTATATTTGCCTATTCTTTATCTAGATGTTTGTTTTTTGTCGATACATTAGTCAAATCATTGTAGTTCTCATATAAATCAATTGTTGTTAATAGAATCATTTTGTAAAGCTGTTTAAATGCAATAAAAATTATAATTTTGTAACCTTCACAACACTCGTTTTCATTGTAATTCAAAAACACTTGATGGCACCACTGTATCCGTTTTTTTTGCTAATTCAATTGTTTTTCAATTGACAATTTTTATTTGACTTTAAGATCAATACGAATCAATGTTTCAAAAAAAAGGATTGCTATCAAAAATCCAAATGGACCACACGCATATATTTGTTTGTTTAAACAGCAGTGGTCTGTTTTGTTGGTTTGTTTGTTTTCAACATTTTCATCAATATGGACAAGTAAAAATCGGCGCCATAGCCGATAGATGATTTATGATGTGTACAAATTCTAACCTTTGGCTGTCAATGAAAATTGTGGTTTGAAATAAATGATGACATGATTATGAACTTATCACTAATTGTCATTCATTATGGGATGATTGTTTTTTCTAATAAACATAAACGGAACATTTACATATTTTTTCATTTGTCATTACTAAAAATATTAATTATACACAAGAATCAATGAACTTATAGCATGGTGGTCGTATAAATATGGTATTCGATTTCGAATTCTATTTCTTATCGATTGCGTGGATCGAAATCTAGACACAAAAAAAAACTCATCATGTGGCCATCATTCTAAACAAATTATTAGTTTTCTTGTTTGTGTTTTTATGTTAGCTAAAATGATTACGAATACTGACCATCATCAGTTGTATACAATTTTCCAAGTTTTGGGCAAGAGTTTTAGATAAATGTTATGATTCCGAGATTTTTTTTCCCATATTATATTGAACATAAATTGAGTGGCAATAATTTTGAGCTTGTTTGACAACTATGTCCATATCAACGAGCGTAATGACCGTTCCACAATTATAGCCATATAGAGCAGATATCATCAAAATAGATTGACAAACTGGCTATTAACATTGCCATCGGTGGTCTTCGACGTTATTGCTGTATTGATTACGTGTAATAGTGTAAGAATGCCTTTCAGGCATCATTCGACAGGCAATAGATTTGATTGGACTTTTAGATAACTAATTAAGACGTTTTCTCATTCATTGATAATCTTTTATATTGTAGACATGTAAATATGTCTGGTCAGTATTTGTCAAAAATGACAAATAAAATGACATTAAAGCAAAATTTATGGAAACGGATTCAGTTGAATAAGTGAACATTGAACCAACGAGAACACGATTAACCATCGCTGGTTTTTTTATCCATTTTCTATTTCTATAAATAATTGAACAAGATAGAAAGGATCGATTTTTATAATAATTGTTCAATAATGACTTTGAATTTTATTTCATTCACCTAAGATCATTGCTAAACATTATTCTTTTGAATTCGATGAATTGCACGAACAATCAAAACAATATTTATCATTTTTTTAAAAATTTTTATTTGTTTCCTATGACTGAATTCAGTCACGGAAAATCGTTTATTTGTTGTTTACAATGATCATGTTATTGTGGGCGATGTCGATGTTAAATTGATGTACCGGTATTGTTCTCATTGTGAACTAGACGATCATCATTATTATCACGTTCCATATATTGTTTTTCGCAACATCCTGACTACAATTTCCGTTATTCATTGGACAACCTTTCTAATGACATTCAAAACAATTTCAAAATGTTAAATGATTCTGAAATTTTAAATTATCGTCTTGTTTATTTATTTTTTTCTTGTTCTTCAAAATAATGATCTAGTTGATTAACCGAATGATCTTAGGAAAAAAGTCATATTATCAGCGCTGACTATTCATCAATGTCTTTCCAAATGAAATGGGTTTTTGTTGAATAAAGAAAAAAACAACACAAAATTGTCTTGCAGTTAAAAAAAATAATATACAAAAAAACAATGAACATTAACCTGTTGTCTGTTTGTTGTTAAATCGATCTATGGCCATAGACAAGAGAGGAAAATTACCCGAGGCATCACGAAACAAAACGACCGAAATACGATGGACAAGTAGAAATTAGACCTGTAACAATTCTTGTATATTCAATTTATAACATAAATACACATGAACATGATGCATGCCATTGATCGTTTCGTTTTCGGCTGAAGAATGCTAATTATACTTATGGAGCCATTGCTAAAAACTCTCTCTCTCTCTCTCTCTCTCTTTCTTTCTCCTTTCACCTCGTGACTATGATTATCATTTTCAAACACTGGGCAAATTATTCGAATTGTGACTTATGTAAAGCTAGTACGATCGTTTTCTCTCCCCTAAATGTGAAATCGACAATCTCTTATTTCTTTTTTTCTTCTGTTTAATTCTGATTTGTATCAAACATTTGGACTTTGACAAAAGTTGACAGCTTGAATGATACACAAGAATGATGGAAATTAATTATCTATTCGTACAGATGAAATTGGCCAATACGACAATGAGTTCGAGTCGAAATTTTCGTTTGATGTTAATTGCTTTGACTCGTGCTCGCGCGCCACGGGCAGCCATAGTATGTGAATAGTTGATTGGATTTGCTACTAGCGTTCAACAACATTTAGATTATTCTTCAGATGCCCAGATCAATTAAAATCAGGGTGGCATCTAGTCAGACAATTTGTTTTCATCGTCATTGACATTGAACATTGAAACAAATGGCCTATGTCCAGAAATTATCACTTTGAAAAAGGGTCTTGTTTCGTGATGGTCATCCTCATTCCATCGGTCTATTTTCTTGATGACCAGATTGATTAATCGATGCGTCGATTCATCTTGATAGGTCATAATCTAGAATTGCTTGGCGGTCTCATAGTATTCAAGCCAATTTCAATTGCAATAATAATCATCAAGTTTGAATTGGCCAATCATAACGATATGATGAATCGATCAATTCTGGTCCTAATCGTTTATAATTATCGTACATTCACTTAATTTGTTGTTATTTTTAAATCTTAGAAAAATGGCAAATTAATTTGACTTAAATGAATTACTTTTTTGATCCATTAAATAGAATAATTCATATTTTCGGCTTACTCATATTTTTTTTGTTAATTGTCTTTTAATTATTGCTTGCCTGTTATATTCGAATTACCGTTCGGAATAACGGTAGCCAAAATTCTCATTTTCTGTGTTGATCCAACATTGAAAAAGAAACCTAGTCAAGTAATTAGTAATTAGAAGGTCTAATTGATTGCCATATGTGACAGGTTGTTGTTTTTTATTCTTTTAAAATTGTTTGCCATAAAGGATGTATACAGTTTTTGATTCACTGACTTGGGATCATTTTGAAGAATAGACACCCAACAAACTATTGTTATTATTTGTATACACCAAATAAATTGACTTGGGTGCATACAACATATAATGTTTGATAAATTTAAACTCAAATAATTTAGCGATTTAGATAGGGATATCGTGCTTCACGATTGTCGAGAATCTTACTATGATTGTTTTTTGAATTTTATTTATTTTTTTTTTAAATAAAAATTATCATTTAACTAAACAAACAATCATAAAATCATAGATGCTTATTTATTAATTGACAATTAATCTATAACATATCTAGTAGCATTGCTTGATTATATCTAGAAAAATGTAATTGTTCGGCTATAAAATCTATGATCACGATCTAATGTTTAATCTTACTTAATTTCAAAAAAAAAAACAATCAAGCAAATCATTATTCGTAATGATAATAAACAGGATTCATTCTGAAATTTGAACACCCAATTGTTTGTGTTTGTATGTAGGATTGCAATTATTAATTGAGCAAAAAAGAAAATCAAATTTTTAATCCCGAGAAAAATAAACGATTAAACTAGCATTGTTCAAAAATTTTTCCTGTTAGAAAAAATGAAATGATAATCTTGTTTCAGAATAACACAATGTTCAATTAAAGTATCATTTAATGCAAATTGATGAATTTGACCACAATTGGAATTTTAAAGTACATATTTTTTGTTGTTTTTTTTTGTTTCTTATAATCACCATGTACATGAAGTTAGTTTAGGCCTTCTATGATTGATAATGTGTAATCGTTTCTTTTCGATATCCAATGATCAAAGTTTTAGATCTTTTTTTATGACTGTGTATGTGTCCATTGGCAGCAATTAGATCTAGCGTTGTTCAGTGAATTCGGTCTTGTGGTTTTTTTTCGGAATGTAAATTTTTTTTCTGGCCGATCTAATTATTTCAAATATACACGTACACATACACACATCTGTCCATGTTTGACATTCTTGTCCCAGATAATACCTGTTGCCAGTTGTTTTGGTTCAAGTTCATAAAAGTTTTTTCTTAGCCATAACAGTAACAATTTTATTGCCCATGTCGTGTACATTTGTACAAAGGCTTAACCTGACCACATGAAATTACCTTCAATATTTGTTTGTCGCCTAACTTTAACTTTATTTGATAATAATTTCGAATCGAATTTGATTTTCATCATGACCCACAATCATGATGGGCACCATCCATGTTAATGTTTACTTAGGCCGTAATCTCATTGATATATCGATTCATTGGAACACAGTCAGTTTGGTTCAAGGATTCGTTTGGCACGATCATCTTCAATGATTCAAGCATAAAATTATTAGTTAAACAATTGCACAAATGAAGAAGGATTTAGTACCTAAAACATTATGAAAGTAATTAGTCGCCGAATCGAAATCCGGCTTGTATAAAACCGACCCACAATCTTAACCACTGAACTCGATTGAACGAGTTGATTGGAAAATTGAGCAATCAGATAATCGAAATGGCCGCCCAGTAAGAAAGAAATAGAATGATTTACATGCATGCTAATCAATAAGTCATTAAGTGATTCGGGTCGGTCGTGCATCATTTTTGCGGACACAAAATTTTAATTGTATACAGTGATATTCACTGCTTGTTGTTGTTGATTGTCATTCAATCTGTGTGTGGCCCTGTGGTCGGCATCGACCTTATATTCGTCTATTATCCACTGATCTAGCTAATAGAATGAATATATTAATTAAACAATCTTTAATTGACTTGATGGTCTTCACTACTCAATTTGATACGCTTTTGGCCTCTCTTTCACTGGATCTTGTTTTTCGTTTTTCATTT